CCTCCCTGGTACCTGGCACAGTAGCTATGGCGCCGCAAGGGGGCTGGGCCGGTAACCGGCGCTGCGCCCAACGCTGCGCTAATCCTCTCGCCGCTGAACTCCTGCTCTCGCCGCTGCTCCTCGCTATGCTGCAGCGCTGCGCTAATCCTCTAATGCTGAACCGCTGCGCTAATCCTGAAGTCTAACCTCTAGTCCATACTAACCTCCCACTGAGGCTGGTACCCAGCCTTTTGTAGTGCTGGGCCGGCCTACTACCTGCTGGTACCTACCGGCCTGGACCGTTGATCTGAATCGACGGTCCAGATTCAAACTGGGCTTGGCGCCTAAATGTGGCAGCCTTTGCAGCGCCGCTGGTAGGTCCTATGCTGGACCGGTACCGGCCTTGTGGCCATTGGCCTGGGCCTCTACCCCTGGCCTGCTTGAACTGCCCTGGTCCAGGCCCATCTGGGCCTTATCTGAACCGTCGTCCCTTAGGCCTACCCTGCCTACTTGGAACCGGGCCCTAACTGGGGCCCGTGTGGCTCAGAATGCCACACACTCCCCCCCTTGAAGACCGAGCTAACTGCGAGGGCGAAGCTGTCTGTCCGATGTCCGTACAGGGCGGGAAGGTTGGGCAACTTCCTTAGCCAGTCGCTGTTTTTCGTAATGCGTGAAGACGAGGGGTGATGTCGCCTTCAGGTCAGCTCTTGAAATCCAGCGTGTGTCATCCGGATCGCATTGCTTAAATGTAACTTTGTACTGCATAGGCTTGTTGCCATGTTTGCGATGCGTGAGAACGCGGTCGACCTCCTGATGACCATCCATTGCAGGAGGGTCCTGTGACCGTCTGCCTTAGAAATCCGCTGCGGAGGCTGGAGTGTAGACCGCCCGCTTTGAAGCGTGAAATATTGGGTGGACCGTCAAATGCGAGGGAATCTCAATGATGAAAGATGGACCCGCGGGGTCGTCGCCAGCTGCTGAAGTGACCTTCCATGGTCCGAACCACTTAGGGAGGAGCTTGCGCGATACGTGCTGCTCGAGCGTGAATTACTCGGAGGTGACCCAAACTAGGTCGCCAGCCCGTATTGGACATGGGATGCGACACCGGTTCGCTTGCTGCTGCATACGGACCTGAGCCTTTTGCATGTTTGCAAGGGCTTTGGCCAGCAGTTCCCTGTACTTGCACGTAGAAGCGGGGGAGCAAGCGGCATCGATATCGGCAGCCCGTGGAAGCAGAATGTCTGCGAAGATACATCCTTTCCGTCCACCATGGTGCAACTCGAATGGAGTCACGCCAATCGCCGGGTGCACCGAAGTGTTGTAGGCGAACTCGATGTCGGGAAGGTGGTCAACCCAATCTTTCTGATCCAGGCGGATGAGTGTGCGGAGCATCATCTGCGCAGGCTGGTGCGCACGTTCCGTTTGCCCATCCGTTTGAGGATGCCGTGCGGAACTCGGTTTCATGCTGGTGCCGGATTCCACCATGAGTGTCGTCCAAAAGGCCGACATGAAATGAGTGTCGCGGTCGTTGACAATGTCTTCCGGAACACAGTGGCTGCAAAACCAGCGCTCGGGAGCCGTCGCATGATACTTGCATGGAAGAAATCGACCGTACTTGCTCAAACCGTCAACGACCATGAGAATACCGTCATGGCCAAGGCGATCGCGAGGGGAAGGGCCAGTCACATCCATAGCAATGGAGAGACGCGGTTCCCAAGGAATCAGCAATAGTCTCAGTTCGCCGTGCGGGAGCTGATGGCGCCCTTTGTTCCGGTGGCAAACGGCACATGACTGAATGTACCAGTTGACGTCGCTGATGATGACGGGCCAGTGAAATAGTTGGCGGAGTCGTGCTAGTGTGTGTGCGAAGCCAAGGTGTCCCGCCAGCCGCGAATCGTGGTATTCGCCAAGGAGGCGAGTGCGCAAGATGCGGTCTTGGGGAACACACAACAAGTCCTTGCCTCGTGTATAAAGAAGCAAGTAACCGTCGACAATGCGATAGTTGCTTGCCGGCGGGTGATCCCATGAGAAGTCCACATAGAGTGTGGAGAATCACGGATCCGACTTGTAGCCGTTTATGAAATGTTGTTGCAGGTTCTCGTCGAGGCCGAATGTGGAGTGCACCAAGGCGCAAAGATCAGGTCTTCGTGAGAGAGCATCCGTTGCCTTGTTCGAGAGCCCGGAATGTGCTTGGAGGTGAAGTCGAACTGGTCCATAAAGTACATCCACCGACCGATCGTGCTGTTCACCGTGCCCTGCGTCTTGTAGTACGTCAACGGATTGTTGTCCGTTGCCCACGTGAATCGCCGACACCCAAGGAGAAAGTGACGCCAACGCTTAAGTACGGTGACAAAAGCTAGCAGTTCCTTCTTCCTCGCATCATCAAGAGTGTTGATGGGCGGCACCTTTTGGCTGAAGTACTCAACCGGATGCCAGTCTGTGCCGTCATGCTGTTCCAAAATCGCGCCAATGCCGTAGCTGGAAGCGTCCATAGTCACTTTAGTAGGCAAGGTCGGGTCATAGATGCTTAAGATGGGAGCTTGAAGCAAAGTCGTCTTCAGCGTGTGAAACGCATGCCGGGCTTCGTCGCTGAACTCGAAGGGCACCAAGGGGGACTGAAGTCGCGACAATGGTGCGGCGATGCGTTGAAATCCTTTGACGAAGTGTATGTAATATGATGCCAAACTGAGAAAGGTGCGGACGTCGGTAGTACACTTGAGGTCCGACCAATCTTGAATGGCTTGTACCTTGTCCGCGAGCGGACGAATGCCTTGCGGTGTAACGTAAGTGTTCCAGCTCTTGCTGGACAAACTCGCACTTGTCGCGGTTTGCCTTGTACTTGGCGATACGGAGCCGCTCCAATAGGCGCGAAGGTGCTCGAGGTACTCGCCCAGCGTCCGGCTATAAACCAAGATATCATCAAGGTAAATGAGTACGGTGCGGTCGAGCAAGTCGCGGAATTCCGTCGTCATCGCCGCTTGGAAAGTAGTCGGGGCATTGGTGAGACCGAAAGGCATGACGATCCACTCAAAGTGCCCATACCACGTCTTGAATGTGGTTTTCTACCGATCTCTTGACTGGATCTCGATCTGGTGGTATCCGGACTTGAGGTCAAGCTTCGAGAAGTACTTGGCGCCGCCTAGTCGCTCAAGAAGATCATCGATCCGAGGGAAAGGGCTGGCGTTCTTGATCGTTTGCACGTTGAGTTTCAGATAGTCGATGCACAAACGAAGGTCCTTGTTCTTCTTCCGGACGAAGAGAACGGGAGCACCGTATGGCGAACAACTAGGGCGAATCCATCCCTTGGCCAAGAGGTCGTCTAGTTGTGCCCGAAGCACTTGAAGTTCCTCTTCGCTCATGCGGTAGATACATCCGCGTGGAGGTACGGCACCGTCCTCGAGAGTGATCCCGTGGCGTATGGGCCGATCCGGTATGACTCCGGCGGGAGCTTCAAAGACATCCTCATAGCTGTCCAACAGCTGAATGATGCGTGGGTCCGACGTATCTGTCTTGGGCTGATCACTGGGTGGGAGGGCGTGAAGAAAACATATGCGCATCTCCTCGATGTCGTTCCGTCGGATGGATTGGCGAATGCTCGCCTCGGATACCACGTGACAACCAATCGAAGGATGAGGAAGTGACACCGTACACGGAACTAGTTCGCCACGCCGATCACGAACGTGAATGGTGCGTCGATGGAAGTTCACCGTATGGTCTTCGCTTTGCAGCCACGACATGCCTAGGATCATATCGAACTTGGTGTCCAATATGTCGAAAGACACGGCCTCGCATGCTAGCGGGGCAAAGTACACGGGCACCGAGTCAACGCATCAGTCGATTGACTTTTGCGTGTGACCATCGACCAACGTGACGTGCGTAGTCTTGGCTGATGTAGTTGCGAGTCGCTCCACAATCGATCAAGGCACTGCAGGTCGCCTTTCCGATCTGAATGCGGATGTAGAGGAGCGGCGCGTCGATGTCGACGTACCGTTGCGTTGCGTACTCGCGGTCGATCTTCGCAAGATAGTTACGAAGGTCAACAACCGCTACTCCGTCGTCCGTCGACGGAGGTGGTACTACAGAGTGCAAGTATTCGCGCAAATGTGCCATTAAGGCATTGCAATGCGATGTTGGCAAAAAACCGGTGGAGGGAAGAGGCAACCATTGGAAGTCCTCAACCATCAACGGGTCGAGTTCCTCAAGTCTCGCCCAAGTTGAGGGATCCTCCGATAGAAGGGCTGGCGAAGCAACCGGTTCGTTGTCCGACGGCGGAACTACCGCGCATGCGCTTGAATCTTGCACGTGGAGAGGCTGGTTCAACGGTGGGACCAGCTCGACAGCATAGTTCTCGAATTCAATGCGAGAACTTGCGACTACCGCATCATCCCCGGATGTGAGAGAGACCGCTAGCAAGGCAGTCGACTCCGGCGGATTGGGAAGTGACGTTGCTGCACTTCCCGCGGTGCTCAGTTTCCCGAGCTTGGACGCTTGACATTTTCATTGTCCTTGTCGAGGCATGCGCTGGTGATGTGTTTGGTGTTGTTGCACCACAAACAGCATGACCATTTCTGTCGCAACTTGAACATGTCTTCGGTAATGCCGAACTTCGTCCATGGTGATTGTCGTGCTCCATCCGCCGACGCTGGTTTCGCCTTCTGTTTTCCCCCTCAGGGTCTTGAGCGTTGCAGTGGTATCGCTGCCGCCACATCTCCGTCACTTGATGTAGACGCGGCTGCGGGGTCCTCACTTGGTCCGTGCTGGACCGCTGCTACTTGCGGCATCCGTTGACCTTTTCCTTTCTCCACGTAACCGGGCTGTTGGCGGGTCTCATTGGCCACATGCCGGTTACCTTGTATGAGCTCCCTTGCCTTTGATATCATGTCATCAAAGGTCTCATACTGGAATTCGCTGCCCAAAGCAGCTGTCAAGGCGTCGTATGACTGAGCGAAGAACTCGGCCCAGATTGAGTCGAACGGTAGGTTCAACTCCGGGGTGGCGATGAGTCTTTGCCACTGCGCCAGCCATTCCCGTGACGTTTGTTGGCCTTGGTATATGCGGAAGATCTTGTTCATGGTGTGCCGTTTGTCATTGTTGACCATGAACCGGGTCTTCCATTTCTACTCGAATTCCTCCCACGTAATCTTAGTGTGGAGGTTGGCGATGGTGCATTCTAACGTGACGGCCATGTGTGTCATGAAAGCCTGTGCCCCTCCGATGAGTTGGAGGTAGAGTGCGTCAAGCCGCTGATGTGCGGGGGTGTGATGTACATCCGCCTCCGCGTTGAAAGCCATCCACCATTGCAGTGGATCAGTCTTGTGATAGTCATCGAACTTCTCGATCTTGAAGTTCGGCATCTTCCATTCCTTGGCGGCAGCGGCCGGTCGTTGCTCAACGCGGTCGCTGAGCGTCTGCAGCTGATTGCTGACTGTCGATGCTCCAGCAAACTTGCTGATGTCGCCGAGGGATGCGACCATGTGGTTGATCCGCTCTTTGAGTTGCTTGGCGTGCGCGGCCAAAGCTGGGCTGCAGTCTACCACTGCACTGCCCGTTGACGCAGCTGCCGACAGTTGTGCCAACCGCATGCTGACATCGGTCTGCAACTGGTCGTTGAGTGTCTGCTGCTGGCTGTTGGCGGCGTGTAGTGTGCTGATCTCGGTCTGCAAGGTAGCGATCTTCTTGTCCAATGCCTTGAATGTTGTTTCCTGGCGGATGAAGACCTGCCGCATGGCCAGCAGTTCACCTTCCTGCCAATTGCACGTGCACAACAAATTCTCCATCAAAACTGTTGTGGCTTCCTTGTTTCTCTCGTCCTCGGTCGACTCCTCTTGTTCTTCATTTGCTCGAAAATGCTGCTGTCGGAGTACACTCCGGTACATGGCTTCGTCGTTGGCGAGCTCCATTGTAGCTTGGTAACGGGCTTGGTTCTGACTTGCTTCGACCTGCTGCTGCTGCAACCGTGCGGCTGCTGCAGCTTCTGCTGCAGCCTGCTGTCGTGCTGCCTCTGCCTCTGCCAGTTGGCGTTGAATTTCCTGCTGGCGGGCGGCTTCCTCCTCTTCCCACTTGCTGAGTTCAGCTGCTGTGGTCTCCGAGTAGATCTGGAGCCGTTTGAGAAACGCTAGAAGCGGTTCATCGGTCTGCTGAACTGGGATGGGAGGGGTAACCGGCCTCTTGGGGCTGGCTTGTGCATTGTCGTCAGCGGTAGCAGCCATGGTCGTGCGTCGCCTGCGCGGGATCCGGGGGGTCTTAGGTTCCTCTTGAGGCTTGGCTCTTGCGGAACCGCGCTCAGCAAGTCGTTGGCTGCGGCGCATCAAGTACTCTGGCCTTCGCCTGCTGCTGACGTGTCACCGCTGAGGTGGCACCTGCTGATGTGGCACTGCTGAGGTGGTCGGAGACTGACGTTCGTGGTACCGAGAGGAGGAGAGAGAAGGTAGGGTGTGGAGGAAGGGCAGAGAGGCAAACAATGCACAGACAGTCCCTTTCTCCCCTGACCTCGAAATTTGACCTAATCAAAGGAAAAAACATTCCCTCCCCTTACAAAAATTTCGAATTTTGAGAAATTAAATATATTTTAATCGAAAAATACGAATTTAACAAAATTTAATTTTGGCAACAGATTAATATTTAATTAAAGAATATTTAAATTCGCAATAATTAATTTCGCAAAAGTTAAATATTTAATCAAGAATATTTAAATTTGCACAAATAAAAAATGAATAAAGTTTAAGCAAGTTTAAACATTTAAACATAACTTCAATAATTTCAAGAAATTTTAATCGGGAGAATTTAGCATTATCACGAGGTCACTAAGTAAGTAGAAGATGAATGGTTAGGAAGATACACAATTTGCTGGAAAGATTCAACCTTTCAACGCAATAAAAGATGCATTTTGCAAAAAGTGAAAGTTTCGTGAAGTTGCAGTTTGAATGTGGTCGTGCTCAGGCCCGATTTGCCTTAACTGGCGCGGTGCCTGGCTGGCACTTACTTTCCATAGGTTTGAGAGGCCATTTAGATTAGGTTAGGACTAACCCTAATTAGCGCTAATTAGGTAGTGATTTCCTAATTTGCGCAATATGGAGAAAAGGTCGCAAAACCTAAAATTATAATTTAACCACCTAATTACTATGTAAGTACGAGAAAAAAAGAAAAAATTTGCAACTTGCGACTTAATGATAACAGAGTGCAGGTGTAGATAATCAATCAATCAATCAATCAATCAATCAATCAATCAATCAATCAATCAATCAATCAATCAATCAATGGTGAGTCATCCAAAGCTGGTCTGCTCCGATACCAAACTGTTGCATACTCGTGAAACACAATCATAAGTATGGCGCAGATTCCCAGAACCGACCAGATAATACAGACTTAATACAGATGCAAGCGGAAGACTTGAGATACCTTGGACTGATTCGGACCTGACTCGGATTGCAATCGAACACTCTCAAACACTCATCAGGGGTGTGAAAGCCCTGGCCGTAGACATAGACGAAGGCCAGGGTCTGAGATCATCCACAGACGAATGGAGGGAGGAGAGAGACGAAGGGAGGAGGAGAGGGAACATGACGTCAACTCAATGTCTCCAAAGATAGTATCTTGAAATGTCAGAATGGACGAGAATCCGAAATGTCGCAAATGCGATGTCTCACAATGTCTCAGATATCGATCTCACAATGTCAAGTACATCTCCAGAAGGAAGATGAAATCAGATCCCCCAAGTAGTCCTCAACCTATAGTCCCAATGTCGCTATTCCCAATGTCATCAAAATTCGTAACCATCCTTCATACTCATAGTAGTCCCATAGGAGAACCCAGGGGTGGATTTAGACTGAGAAGGTAGAGAGAGAGAGAGAGAGAGAGAGAGAGAGAGAGAGAGAGAGAGAGAGAGAGAGAGAGAGAGAGAGAGAGAGAGCGGTGGAGGCGACGAGGGAGAGAAGGCGGAGCCTTCGTCCCTGGTACCTGGCACAGTAGCTATGGCGCCGCAAGGGGGCTGGGCCGGTAGCCGGCGCTGCGCCCAACGCTGCGCGAATCCTCTTGCCGCTGAACTCCTGCTCTCGTCGCTGCTCCTCGCTATGCTGCAGCGCTGCACTAATCCTCTAATGCTGAACCGTTGCGCTAATCCTGAAGACTAACCTCTAGTCCATACTAACCTTCTACTGAGGCTGGTACCTAGCCTTTTGTAGTGCTGGGCCGGCCTCCTACCCGCTGGTGCCTACCGGCCTGAACCGTTGATCTGAATCGATGGTCCAGATTCAAACTGGGCTTGGCGCCTAAATGTGGCAGCCTCTGCAGCGCCACTGGTAGGTCCTATGCTGGACCCGTACCAGCCTTGTGGTTGTTGGCCTGGGCCTCTACTCCTGGCCTGCTTGAACCGCCCTGGTCCAGGCCCATGTGGGCCTCATCTGAACCGTCGTCCCTTAGGCCTACCCTGCCTACTTGGAACCGGGCCCTAATTGGGGCCCGTGTGGCTCAGAATGCCACACACTCCCCCCCTTGAAGACCGAGCTAACTGCGAGGGCGAAGCTGTCTGTCCGATGTCCGTACAGGGCGGGAAGGTTGGGCAACTTCCTTAGCCAGTCGCTGTTTTTCGTATTGCAGGAAGATGAGGGGTGATGTCGCCTTCAGGTCAGCTCTTGAAATCCAGCGTGTATCATCCGGATCGCATTGCTTAAATGTAACTTTGCACTGCATAGGCTTGTTGCCATGTTTGCGATGCGTGAGAACGCGGTCGACCTCCTGATGACCATCCATTGCAGGAGGGTCCTGTGACCGTCTGCCCTAGAAATCCGCTGCGGAGGCTGGAGTGTAGACCGCCCACTTTGAAGCGTGAAATATCGGGTGGACCGTCAAATGCGGGGGAATCTCAATGATGAAAGATGGACCTGCCGGGTCGTCGCCAGCTGCTGAAGTGACCTTCCATGGTCCAAACCACTTAGGGAGGAGCTTGCGCGAGACGTGCTGCTCGAGCGTGAATTCCTCGAAGGTGACCCAAACTAGGTCGCCAGTTCGTATTGGACATGGGATGTGACACCGGTTCGCTTGCTGCTGCATATGGACCTGAGCCTTTTGCATGTTTGCGAGGGCTTTGGCCAGCAGTTCCCTGTACTTCCACGTAGAAGCGGGGGAGCAAGCGGCGCCGATATCGGCATCCCGTGGAAGCAGAATGTCTGCGAAGATACGTCCTTTCCGTCCACCATGGTGCAACTCGAATGGAGTCACGCCAATCGTCCGGTGCACTGAAGTGTTGTAGGCGAACTCGATGTCGGGAAGGCGGTCAACCCAGTCTTTCTGATCCGGGTGGATGAGTGTGCGGAGCATCATCTGCGCAGTCTGGTGCGCACGTCCCGTTTGCCCATCCGTTTGAGGATGTCGTGCGGAACTCGGTTTCATGCTGGTGTCAGATTCCACCATGAGTGCCGTCCAAAAGGCCGACATGAAACGAGTGTCGAGGTCGCTGACAATGTCTTTCGGAACGCTGTGGCTGCAAAACCAGCCGGTATGCAAAAGTCGTGCGAGCTCGGGAGCCGTCGCATGATACTTGCATGGAAGAAATCGACCGTACTTGCTCAAACGGTCAACGACCGTGAGAATACCATCATGGCCAAGGTGATCGCGAGGGAAAGGGCCGGTCACATCCATAGCAATGGAGAGACACGGTTCCCGAGGAATCGGCAATGGTTTCAGTTCGCCGTATGGGAGCTGATGGCGCCCTTTGTTCCGGTGGCAAATTGCACATGACTGAATGTACCGGTTGACGTCGCTGATGATGTCGGGCCAGTGAAATCGCTGGCGGAGTCGTGCTAGTGTGTGTGCGACGCCAAGGTGTCCCGCCTGCCGCAAATCGTGGTATTCGCCAAGGAGGCGAGTGCGCAAGATGCGGTCTTGGGGAACACACAACAGTCCTTGCCTCGTGTATGTAAAATAAAGAAACAACGGCGGACGATGGCCAAAGGCAATTTTCAGACCGGACACGGCAATCCGTTCCTTGGAGTTCGACCGAGCAGAGTGGGCCTGAAAACCAAAGTCTACCAGCAACTTCAAGTGAAAGGTCCCGATCCACGACTACTCAGTCAAACTTGGGTACAGACTGTCTCTGAAGACCAAAAATCCAGATCCAATCATCAAAAACAGATGGCGGAATCTCGTGGGTCAAGAAGCAGACAAAATCACGCGAATCCATTGGGAAAAATTCAAACGCATCAGACCAATCAAGATCAGAAGTTTGCAATGGCTGATTGTATACGCAGCCCTACCGGTGAACCAATGGCTGCACATTAGACGAAAAACCACAGACCCAGACAGCTCGGAATTATGTACAGTCTGCTCTGAAGGCTCGGTAGAAGACCTAGTCCACTGCCTAGTGCTCTGTAAAGAGGCGACCGAATACTGGGCGAGAGCTTCTTCTCTCTGGGATTCCCTCTTCTCATCCCCCTTCCCCAAACAACCCATTCAACTGCTCCTCTTAACTAACATCCCTGTTCAGGCTCGGAAGGCTGAAAGGTCCTGGTTTGAACTCATCAGGAAGGTGACTCTATGGGTCATATGGAAGGAGAGATGCAGCCGAACAATTGAAGGACGGTCCAATCCACGGGAGAAAGTGTGGTTAGAAACTAAAACAATGATTCAAGCCGAGATCCTTTGCAGATGGCGGAAGACCAAACGAGCCTGGACCAAAGACGAAGAACAACGGAACAAGGAGAGGCAGAGATTCTACAGGATTTGGCTGGTTGTATGGCAAGATTGGAGAACTGCGACAGGACCGGGTATGCTGGGAGAAATGGCATAATTCAATTCCAGAAAGAGGTCCCCAACATCAGACGTCGCTGGAAAGCTTAACCACGTCCTAGGCTGCAAGAGGATAAACATAACCCAGGGGGTACAGATGACGTGGAACAAGGAGGACACGAACGGGGTCACAAAGGATGGTCCCATCTCAGAGATCCGGAAGCTAACGAACTCCCTGCCTGGGTCCAATTTTGACGACCGGACGACTAGAATACAGACTGAGGGTGTAGGGTTTAAAGATATATGGTTGACTGTTCAAAGGGGGGCAATAGTGGTGTACAGGGAAGGACCAGGTTGGGTAAGGACAACAGTTGGGGCTCTTTCTAGGGTCAAATGCTTTATCTGACAGATCTGGATTCCGGGTCTGAGAGGAAAGAGAGGGACAAGGCAAGCTGACAGTCAATCCTCCCGGGGTGGAGCAATCAATGCTGCTCAGGGGTCCTTCGGCCGGACGGAAGGAAGCGTGTGTGATTGACAATTGTTGTAATGTATATTTTGACTTGCCGGTGGAATAGGAACAGGACTGGCGCTCCCCAGAATAGAAGGAGCCAGGACCATAAGGCCCTGTGTTAAAAAA